TAAGTTCTTATAATTTAAACTTATATCAGATATAAATGTCTGTTACATCAAAATTTATATATATTTTAAATATAAATTAACGTGAATTTAAATTTAAAATAAATTAACAGGAAAATGCCACCCATATGAAATATGAACTATCTCATTACTTACGTTGCACACACTGTGATGGCCTTGAAGAATAAGATGATATCGTATAAAATCTCAAATTTCTTCATAATTCAAGCGCATATATTATCAATATTTGATCAACAGTAAAGCTATGAGTAAGACATAATTTTCTCAGTATTAAATTACTATACGACGAAAGACACGCACAAAAAAACCTTCATCGGTGTCTTTGTTGATTGCATATCCAGTATGAAATGTATGACACTCATTCATCTTGCATAAAGAAGAAGGTACGTAGCATATCTGATAAAATCAATTCCGCTGCAGAATAAAATAAAACAGATAGTGAATGTTGTTTGCAATACTTGCTAAAATAAAAGATTTTCCATATCAATTGAAAGTTCCATCGGAATTTCATTTGCGGAGGAATAACAATTGATCTGTTTTCTAGCACGTATAGGGGTGTCAATTTATATTTACTTTTAATTTGATTTATGAGTAAATTAAATTCTCGGTAATTTATATTTAAAATAAATATAAATACTTTTTTTTCACAATTTATATTTAAAAATAAATTAAATTTGGCACAATTTATATTTACAATAAATTACAGAAAATTTAATTTATTTTAAATATAAATTAAATTATAAATTAAAGTGAATTGTTGCATTTCGTCGTGATATTTCGTCCGAGTCATACAAAACAAGGAAAGAAAACATGTTGAAGTTTTAACGAACATAAGCTGGTAAAATATCCACATCTAAATATGTTCAAAACGTGTTGAAATGCTAAAAAAAATATATATTTGTTAGAAAATCTAATGCCTTATGAATACGTGAATATCTGCGTTTTTACGAGTTACTTTTCGTTAAAACTTCAACGTGTTTTTTTCCTTGTTTTGTATGACCCGAACGAAATATCACGACGAAATGCAACAATTCACTTTAATTTATAATTTAATTTATATTTAAATAAATATAAATGGAGTGAAAATAATTTATATTTAAAATAAATTATGCCAAATTTAATTTATTTTTAAATATAAGTTGTGAAAAAAGATTATTTATCTTTATTTTAAATTAACAGGAAAATGACACCCATAACCACGTATATTCACACTTCCTTTCATATAGCTCGATTATTGTCAGAGAATATTTTGTTGCTATTATATATCATTGCAACTCTCAAATCATAACAGCAGCTTGAGAATTCTATAAACACTTTGAAAATATCGGAGTATTTCTTTACTGTCGTACTCCAGACTACGAATGTCTCTTGCAAAGCGAGATTACAGCAAAATTTATTTTTCGATGTTTTATATACCATGTAACAGAGAATTTCAAGGCGACCAAGAATATGTGTTTTCTGAGTATTTTTGAGCCTTTCTTCCATTAGAAAAATTGGAAAAACTCGAACGGCGCAAAAAAAGGTTCGGTTTTTTCCCTATTTTTATAAAATTGAGTTTTTCAAGTTTTATGCCAACTTGAATTATTAAAACTTCCATATTATTCTTGCTCAGCTTTGAAAACTGATTTAGAAAGTGGCCTGAAAATCGTTTCAAATATAAACGTCTATCCATCAAGGTAGTCGAAAACGAAGCAATCCAAATTTCGCCACCCATTCTTGCACAGAACAGGGACGCATAAGAACATGACTTGGTACATAGAACTTTTAAAACTGAACTCATCACAATCGTATATAGGATGCAAGAACTTTTTACAGCGAGTACTTTGATACCCGATCCAAGCTACCCTTCTAGTATATTTGAGGATTTCCACAATCATACATTCATCATTTGAGTGAGTCTTTGTGATCAACCTTTCACATATAAAATCAGGAGAAGCCAGGTTCTATTAGAGTTGGTTCGATAGCAGTTTTCAGGGGCTACAAAACCATATTGTTTATAGAATTGTCAAAGGTAGGCCAAAAACAAAATTATAGATCATACTTTGAAAATATTGTCAATTTTTCATCTGATAGAAGATGATTGACTTATAATGTCTCCGAGAATCAATGGAATCTGGCTTCTATCTCATATCGTTGGATCACCCTTTTGGTGAACAATAAAACCTTATTATTTTTATAATCATAAAAGTAAAATCGTTATGATGAACTAGGCACATATTGTGTTAGTAGATTTCTAAGAAATGTGTTGCTCCGTCCATATCATTGTTTGCAACGGTGAAATAGGATCTTGTATGTGATTGAAGATTCATATCACTATCGGCGTGTAAGTTCTTGGAACTCTATTAGATGATTGCCATAGGACTATTAGCTTCGTTACAGTAGTAGCCGTACGACTTATAGACACCTTATATTATCCTATCTAAAGAGGGCTGGACCGTTTCCCCATCTCAAAGGGAAACTGTTCCACTTCCAGTAGAAATTCTTCAACCACATAAAGTCAGAAGGAAACGCTTTTTATCCACCAGACCACCTTCATTCGACTACATCACTACATAAGATAACAAACCAAAAACAAACAGAAGTGCTTCATTCATATCACCACTCACAAGGAGAAATGTAAAACAGTACGAGAGAAATGGATAATTTTTCTTTTCGTCTTAAGCGATGTTTCTAGTTGAAATAGATATTTTCTATGAGAAACCGTTATTTTTCCAGCAGAAGTGCTTCATCCATTTCACCACTCACAAGGTTGAAATGGAAAACAGTACGAGAGAAATGGATAATGTTTTTCGTGTTAAGTGTTTTTTTGAGTAGTAATGTTTTCTTGCTATGAGAAACGGTTTTTTTCATCAGAACTCCTTCATACATATCTCCAATTAGAAGGAGAAATCGAAACGAGTGAGAGATAAATGAACGTGTTTTCTTATTTAGATGGAATTGTTGTATGTAGGAAAATTTTTTTTTATGAGAGACGGTCATTTTGTTTTGTAAAAGTGCTTGATATATTCCTCATTCATTTGTCGTCTAGCAGTTAAGTTTGTTGATAAAGTTATAACGTTGTCGTGCAGATGCACAAAGATCATTGATTTGACGGTCATTATTCTCGAAGTTAGGTTCCATGATTTTAGAACACACATAAGTGATGTTATAATTTGAAATAAATTTTGTTTAGTGTATGATGAATAATGTGTTTTTTTGAAGAAACACTATTCAGATAACATTGTTGTATAGTATGTAGTGCTGAGTGGAGAATTTTCTGCGCGCGAATTGAGCAGCAGCACATGAAAATCAAGTTAATTATATGGTGGTAAGTGAATTAGAGGTAAATTCGAGAAGCGTTCATTTGTTGAAGTTGGAATGTTGATGAGGACTATCATTGAAGTTATAATTATGTGCGTCTGTGTACGTTTGATGGGGCATGCGTATATATATAAATATATATATATATATATATATGTGTTGTTGTATTTTTTTCTTTCCATTTCTGCTTGTTGAACCGTTTCGCTTTGAAGGAAAAACCATTTCTATTTGAAAGAAAAATGATTCCATTCTCATTTGAAGTAGATATGGCATACATATGATACATTATATGTCTGTATTTGGATAAATATGTATTTTTTTCTTTCTTTTCATTTCTCCTTGATATGTATGACTTTATGTGGGGTGAAGCATTTCCCAATAAAGTGCAACAATTTCCCTCATCGGCTAGTCCAATGGTCCATTGTTGCAATGCTACATGGATAACAGCATTCTCAGTCTGTTAAAGTTAGTCATAAAGATGTGTTGATGTTAATTTGACAAACAAGCATATATATTTACGAAAGAACTCTACGGCTTGTCCACGCGTAACGCTGTGACATTTTGGCACACTTGTTTTGAGATATCTCGAAAACTATGATAGTTAGAAAGTTCATTGAAACGTCATTCGACGCAGCTCGATAAGCTCTATGTACACTATAAATTTGATATTTTTTCGTTGAACTGTACAGATTTCAGAAATGGTTTATAGTCACGTAACACTGTGCCGTAAAAGGACCCTGAATTTGGAGCACACTGATTCGTCTCTCAATTCCCTGCGAACGACATTCTCAAATTAAATAGGACTCGAAGCAACTTTGTAGAGCATGAAATGAGCTTTCCAACGGTAAATTAAAATTTCTCTTCGCTCTTTTTATTCATATAAAAAATGAAAAATAAAAACGTAACGCCGTGACATTTTTCGTAACGCTGTGACACACTTTTTCTCCCTGATATGATGTGCTTTTTAATCGATGTAGATTCATCTTAATCAATAGCTTTGACGTATCAACCGGCGTTTATATGATTTATACTGCTAAAGATAGTGTTGGCGTCTATTCAGACCTGTTAAGTCTCTATCAGATTTTCAATTTTCACTTACAGTATGCAATCATTCTGTTATGAATTCGAAATCTACTTGGAGACTCTTTGCCACTAGAATTAAAGCACACTCTATCTTCAACACTAGTGTTTATCCAACTCGGGACGAAGACCCGGTCTCCTTCGAGCTAGGTAGATTTATTTTTCTACTTTTTTATTTTTTTTTATTTTCAAAATTGTTTTTCAGTCTTTCTACTAATCAATCTTTTCCAATGAATTTTTTTCTGTAACCTGAATCAACAATATCTGATTTAAGAAAACATTTTTTCTACTTTTCATCATTTCATTAAACGCACACCTCAAGAGAAAAGCAAAACCTAACAGAAAAAAAGCCAACAACCGTAAATGTCTAATGTCAATATTTTATTGTCGTTTTTTTTATTACACATAGAATAATAACGAAATTCTATTGTATTCTTGTCAATTACGTTAACTGAATGTATTTTGAGTGTTTCTGGTACAGTTTTTGCCGTTTTGAAAATATTTTCAAGCTTAATTTTCGAGTTATCGATATCGTTTCTCGTGATCTTAACAAGAATTACTTTGTTAGTCTTTTTCTGTGCAAGCTTAATAAAATCTTCAGCTTATCGGCACATTTCTCCTCCCAATATGGCAGACCATACAAGACGTTTCACAACTCCTCCAATTCCGTCGACCACACCTTTTCCATGAGATATTGCGAAAAAGTGCCAACTCATTTTGATTTTACGTTCATTATTAATTTCTATTAAATTTCGAAAAAGAAAACGCTGCTTAAATTGTGAAGCAGCACCATCAGAAAAACAATTTATTTCTACAACGTTTGGTAGAACTGTTTTAATATGATTTAAAATAATTTCCAAAGCTGCATTGACAACAAACTTATCGTTTGTCAAATCAAGCGATGGTAAAGCAAACGAAAAGTTGTCACTTTTTGACCAAACAAAAGCAGTAATTATACTCAATGGCTTTGTATTCAAATGAGCAGTTTGAATCTCGTCTTGTTCTTTCATATTAAAATTCTCTGCAAAATCAACTTGAAATAACTGTTTCTTATTGTATAGATATAAATGAATCTTCTGTTCCTTCGTCGCCTAGTTATATATGATGAACGGAGAAAAGAAAAGAAAAAGACAGATTATTTTGAACGATAACAACGCGACGAATTCATATGCTCCTCGTGTTCAACAGACTAAAAAGGTTTATTTTCCTCATTGTAAACACTTCTAGTTCAACAGCAAGTTGTATGCTGATCTCGAATGCATACCGACCAGTAACATTAAAATTCATCATAGGAAAAACATCGGAACATAAGCAAAAACTAGAAATTTTCTGAGATACTCGCCGCTGGACGAATACAGAAGGGTCATGAACAAGTTTGAATTCATGAATTCACTATCTATCGATCATAATATTGAAATTTTTCCTAATGTATTTAAAGTAAAATAGCACCAAATATTAAGTTTGTGTCACAGCGTTACGTTTATCTACCTCAAAATGAGATATTTTTTAAATAAAAACAAGTGTATCAGAATCGCCTTAAAAGGTTAGCAATGGTCCACTAGTTTGTTTAATCTTATTCTGTAAGCGACTTGTTCAAATTTTAAAATAAGACCTTCTTCGTAACGCTGTGACAGCAAGATTAATGAAGTTTTAGTTTGAGAATTTTCTCATGCAGAGAAAAATATTTAACTTTATTCTTTGGTCAAAAGAAAGAGCGTTCTGTATAGGTTACAAAACTTTTGATATTGAACTTCGGGAGTAAAACATCAATGTACACAGTTGATTGCAGAGCAACACTAAAAAAACTGACATAGACAATGCATTTATTACCACTTCATGCATTCATTTTTAAGGGCTCACAAAGATAATTTTTCGATTAATAAAATACACTTTCTTACACTTTCGTATATGTTCTACAACGTGGCATAAAGGTTTCTTTCGAATATTGAATCACAACCTAATCACTGAAGTAGCGCGTTACGTGGACAAGCCGTCTAGTGCTTAATAGTACACATTGAAGCATGCCTCGAAAACAAAAAGTTCATGGCTGTGTACACCAATATAGCTTTCGTGAAATTATTCATAAGTATTCAGTCACCTCAACACTTCTTTTGAGAAAATATATCGCAATGAAGACAAAGCGCTTCAAAACAGGGGTGGGTGTGGAGCATGTGTGCTCATGTTGATACTTTCTTCAGACGCACATCAGACCCACATCCTTACACCCTACCCATACCCATATGCCACCCACCTCCACTCCAATGGGAGAAAAAGCAGATTTTAGCATTCAAAATCTCTGAAAATCTTCAAAATCTTTTAAAATTTTTAAAAATCTTTCAGAATCTCTCAAAATCTATTAAAATCTTTTAAAACCTTCATATCAGAGGCGGGTTGGAGTAGGAAGTTACCGTTACCGAGCCGTTACTGTTATCGGATAATTGGTAACAGTATCCTTAGGGTCATAGGTCGTGCTATATAGCATACCCTTGGGTCTTCGAGTCCTATACTAAGTGGATACCTTTGGATTCTCAAGTCCTATACTGAGGGAGGGGTCCCCTTGGGTCCTAAAGTTCTACTATAGGGGATACCCTTGGATTCTCTTGTTCAAAACTAGACAATAGCCTTGGATCCTCTAGTCGTATACTCGAGGGTACGATAGATCCAATCATACTGTTACTGTTACCAGGTAGCTGCTAACGAGGCAGTTTTCTCATTTCAGGGTAACGGTATGACCGATAACTTGTTCGTTACTCGGTGGCTGTAACAATTTGATCCCTTCAACTTCTCCAACTCCTAGGTACCTTTAATTCTACATGGGCTATAATATAGAGGGGGCGAGTAGTCATGAATGGTATTCTTAGGGGTACGCCTAGGGACTCATGGACTCTTGTATGCAACTTTCTGAAGTCTTTAAAGCGGTTTCTGAACGATGGTCCAATAGTTTTTGAGTGTCGCTTGATGTAAGAAGTTGGATTTGCCGAGGTGCTATCAGATTGAGTGCCGATAGTTTCTGAAGCGCTAACGGATACAAAGAAGTGGTGCAGCCTAACCTTTTTCCTAACAGTAAGTGTCCGAGAAGAGTTACTATTAGCTTAGGAGGTAACTGGGCATGGGATAAAAGAAAATTTGACACCTGCATTATTCATCATAGGGATGGATTTTTCAGGAAATAATGGAATTTTATAAAGGCTGCCGAGTGTAAATCGGCATCGAGAAAGTAGAGCCTGGGGTTAGTATCTCAGAACTCTGAAGTCGATTCTGTCGATCGAAGAGACAGGTATTCCGACGGATTGGAGATTGGGTCATCAATTTTTGTATCGATGATTTGAAAGTATGACTGCTAAGTGAAATCTGATTTTGGTTTATTACTCAGAAGTGAAGAACTTCAGGTGACGTCATTTTCACTGTTTTGTTGAAAATGAGGTTTTCGTGTTGAATAAGAAAACGATACTTACGTACTTTGAAGTTGTAATGCGATATGGTTCTGTTAGCATGAAAACCTGTATTTGACTCGGTCGGTTGTGTCGGATAACTCATTGGCTAACGTGCAAATAGGTTCAGCTCATGTGCGTGCCAGAGGGACGATAGTGGTGAAGTCAACTTGGCTTGCAGGAACACTTCGTTTCTCCTTTGTTAGTTGGTATATCTGAGCTGCGAATGTGCAAGAATTATTCAGTTTTACTTCTATTTATGTCTATGAATTGATTGAATAACCACATTTATGAAGAAGGCGGAGCTTATGGGAAGTAGGTTTTTAAGATCCAATGGTAACCCCTATAGTAGGACTGGAAGATCCAAGGTACCAACTAGCATAGAATTTGAGGATCCAAAGATACTCCTTATATTAGTACTTGAGGCGCCCAGGTGTGCCCTCCTATAGTAGGACTTATGACCCCAAGGGTACCGCTACTGGGTAATCGGTAAGGTAACTTCCCATCCCTATTTTAGTTAAGTGCCATTAAGTGAAATGGTTCACCCCTTTAAATCTTAAAACCTTTTAACACCTTTCAAATCTTCAAAAATCATTGAAATCTTTTAAAATCTGAAAATCTGCTTTTCCCCCGTTGCCCCAACCCCACCCCACAGCCACACACTCGCCCCACACTACTGACACTCATACGCACATCCATAGTCACAGCCACAGCCACAGTCATACGCACACACCCAGAACCACACACATACACCACCGCACCACACCCACACCCACACCCCACACCCCACACCCTTCGCCCAAGTGCTCGTGTATATTTCAGTATGTGACAGATGACCACGAAAACGTGTGCCATTATTCATGATACAATATTTTGCAACCTATTTTGCCAATGTCTCCTTCATATCTATCTTCAGATTATCTTCATGGCTAAGATAAATGCATCGTTCATGTCTCATATATCAATTCCAGCGCTAGCATTATTTATATTGCTTTTACTATTTTTTCATATGAAAACGATCCTCATCATGGTAATAAATAATTTTAAGAACCAACCGACATGCATATCAGTACATCGTATTGAGGAAACAGATACGTCTACTCAAATTTATGGCTGGAAAGTGGTTGGGCACACATATGACGAGCAAATTCGTCTTCGGGACATGGCTACTGTTGTTGCTGCCTGGCCTGAAACTGCTGAGGATAACGTACCTACAGTGCCATGTTTATCAGCTGATGGACATTTGCTTGTGCTTAGTGCTAGAGCAAGTCGTGTACGTTATGGTGTAAGCGCGACTTTTATAATGATCTACCCTAACGATGTTACACGTGTCTTACCAAAAAAGAATTCAGCGCAACCGTTTTCTTCTCATTTGTTCAGCTTGTGGTGTATTTTTGATGATGGATCAGTGACATCTGCCTATAGTTACGATTCAAAGTATGGCAGTGAACGTGTATCACTCCTCGACTGTCCACTCAGTCCCTTTGCTAGTGACCAATTATGGCGATACAATCGGACATTAAGAGTGTATCTCGCTTCGACAACAGACAAAGATCGAAATGCACCCATACTGAAAGCATTTATCACTGTCCCATTGCCTTCATTTTTCTCGTTGAATTCTAGTCAGGAATTGTTAACATTATGTACTTCACCGCTGCACAATGGAGCTGAGTATTTAACTCAATGGATAGAATTCCATCGACTGGTCGGTTTTCGAAAGTTCGTTGTTTACAACACAACCGATACCCATGAACGCTTGTCATCTGTTGTCAATACTATCAATCGAAAATATTCGAATCTAGTTGATGTTGTTCAATGGAATTTCTCATCTCTTTACCTGATCGACATTTTGCCGACGCGATACTTTCAGACTGAAGCTTTGCACGATTGTCTGATTCAATATGGTGATCAATCAGAATGGTTAGGTATGCTTGATCTCGATGAGTACATTGTGCCGCTTGATCCATATCAAACTGTGCTTGACTATTTGCATAACAACTTTCGTCGACGCATCATCGGGTCAATCAATCTATGGAGTCAATTCTTTTGCACAAAAGAGGCTAATCAGTACACACTAGAAGAGAATAATAAAAGCCGTTTGATTATTGACCGCTTTATTTTGCGTGCACCTGATCTTTATAAACAGGGACGTGAAAAGTACCTTTATCGGCCACGTTTCGTTCAGTATTTATCTATTCATCATCAGATCATTGGACTTGCCAAGCAACAGACCTCACGAAATCATATACTTTTGGCCCATTATGCATCTATGAGTCGACTGCGAAGCATGCCAGGCTGCAGTAGTGGTCAATATGTGACAGATACGAGTGTTCGAGACCGATTCGCTAAAAAAGTCAAGGACGCAATAGAAAATTTGATGGTATAACAGTATATTTGTGCTAGAAACGACAAGTTTTGCGCAAATCATTAGTATTGCAACACTCCACAAATATTTACCACATCACCTATAACTTTTCGAAAAACCATCGATAATCGCTCTTTTCACAAAACATCGTTCTCACTTACAACTATTTATCCCGTATTGTATGTATCTCTTCTCACTATTATTCTATTCGAAAATCCACAAACTTCTCGAGCTTTTAGTTGCAAAATCATCTGTTCTAGTTCAATATCAAATTCTTTCCTACGTAAATTTACTTGAAAAGTTATTTTAAGAAACCTAGATCTCCAAAATTACAATCAAAGCGAGAACTATCTTATTTCAATAGCAGTTACCATAAAATAGGAATTGTTGAAGTTTGGAGAAACCAGCAAGCTAGAATTTCACTTCTTTTTTTGATTATTTTACTATCTATTTTTTCTTAACTTTTCATTGCAACCCAGGTTCATGATTACGATGACCGTAAACAGACCGTGTTGCACCCGTTTGGTAGCGACCGTGCATCGCCATGACGTATACACCGAAACTGGTGCCGCAATACGACCGTCTTTAAACGGATACGAAGGGAAACGCCGACGTTTACCACCGTATATCACCGTGGGCTGCTGTGATTAGTGTCACATAAATGAAGCCGTGTCGATGAATTCCACAAGATACCTTTTCTCGGTACCTTCGTTTATTTCCCCATTGTATCTAAACACGAAATGTAAAATAAAAATGCATATAAAAAATGCCCCTAAAGGCATTTTTCAAAACAAACCCCTTTAAAGACGTTTTTCACAAAAAGTCTGATTTCTCCGTTGAAATCATCTCAAACAGTACTGCTACTCATAAAAAGACCTTTGAATACCTTTTTGACATGCCTCTAATCAGTTGAATAAGATTTCAGCTTATTTACATGGTGGAAGATATAACTCCTTTAAACGCTTTTAAAGGCATTTTTCGCAAAAAATCTGATTTCACCGTGAAAATCGTCTAAAAAAGTACTTTACTCATAAAAAAAAACTTTAAATGCCCTTTTCTACATTAATCCATCCATCTGGATGAAGAATTCGACTTATTTACAAAGTTCAAGATGAAACTCCTTTAAACACCTTTAAGAGACAATCCATGGCTCACTCGAGAAATCATGTCATAAAAAAATGTTGATCTACCTATTGTATCATCGCAAACGAAAGAATATGTAAAAAAAACCTATAAATTCAAAATTTTAGACTTCGCTGAGTTACTTTTCAATAGATCTGATAAAAACATTAGAAGCGTCTTCATAAAGTTTAAAAAATAATTATCATGCTTTTTTCATTGTTTTCTGTTCGTAGTATGTGCTTGTCTCTGTTCTCAAAGTCAATCAAATGGAATCGAATAATATCTCAAAATATAGAGCAAGTTTTGCTCTACAAAACTATATATTTAGATTTTTCTTAAATAATTTCTAAACATATATATGTAGGACCAATCTTCAAAAGATGACACAAAAAAAATACGTAATAATTTGAAAATTGTGTGCTGTTTTCAGTGTTTTTATCAAAAAAAAGTATCAAAAGACATTCGGGCCGACAATAGTGTAACGGTTTTGCGTTACTTGCGGTTTATTCTTTCATATATTTATGGAAGAAATACAACACAAAGGGGAGAAGAGGATAGGAGAGGAATATTGAGCCAAGAATGACTGGTGAACAACAATTGAACAAGGGTATTTATAAGTGCGCGCGAACGAGAGAGAAAGAGAACAACGAAAGGAAGTGAATAATGATAAAGAGAGGCACTACTCTCAGAGATGATTGTATGACAGGTGAATCCGTCACAAATAGATTCTTATGGATTTGATAGACCAGAAAAACTGCACAATAAGCACCTAAAAAAGCAAACAAAAAATACGCACATAAGACTTTAATTTAGCAGAAAAGATAAACGAAGGTTACCCTGATATAACACTTTTTTATGGTATTTTCGAAATCTGTGAACTAAACGACAATATAAATAAAATTTTCTCTCAACGTGAAGACTAAGCAAATATAAAACATCTAAAATCTATTTGTCTCGTTAGTTCGATAGCTGATTCAATAAGATATGATATTTAAGATGAATTTCTTCATTCTCTCTTTAGATCTACTATAGTCAAGGGGGTGGGTGTGGGTGTGGATGTGGGTGTGGATTATGGATGGGAGTTGGTGTGGGTCTCAGTCACGGCGTGGGGAAGAGTATACCCATACTGATAGCCACATCCGCACACACCCACACCCACACCCTCAATCGATCAAACATGCTCAATTCGAAATTACTTACATGATTCGACCAATATCAGAAACGATGAGAAATATCCTTAGAAATAATATCCTATGCAAGAGGGATCAAACGAATCAATACATTGAATTATATTCGAGACCTCTTCATGCAACAGCTACTCGTTGTCGTTCTTGTAAAGGGGAACTTAAAGAAATGGGTAAATTTTATATTTTTTCTACTGAAACGCCTGAAATTCAACATGAATGCACCACATGTTCGTGTCCTGCCAAAAAACATGTTCCAATCGATTATGCTCTTAATTATAGATGGTCAAATACTACTTCCATTGATTATCAAAACAAAATAAGCGATAAACTATATAGCTTGTGTCATATGAGTGCCAGATTAGCATATTTTCTCTTTCATACAGCATGTTCTACAAAAGATGACCCATTTTTGAATGGTCTGGAATAAATGATTGCTGAAGAAACATATTTGTGAAATTCAAAAATCAACTGATTTAAATAAGGAATTGGTCCTAGCATTGTCGATACTTGAAAATCAATATGAAGAATGTATGCGTAAAATAGAACCGAACAAAGAAAAATTGGATCTATCGGCTTTATATGAGGTGATTAAGGTCATCAGTGAATATCCTATGGTGCGTGAACAGTTGACAGCCGTTAAGAAACGACAACATATGCTGATTGAACAATACGAATATGAAGCACATAATATTTGATAAATACATAATTTGTAAAACTTTTTCTAATAAAATTTTCTTGCGGTGAAATNCAGACAAAGTCACCGGTAGAAACAAAATAATATTATTTTTCCAACAATATTGTCTATATTACAAAAAGGCTAAATATCTTTTTCAGGACTATTGTAACACATTCTCAGTCATAGAATAATATGAACAATGAATCCTTCAGCTCTTCTCTTTCTGTGTACAATAAAATCTGTAAGTTTTTTTCTAAGCATTTAGATTCAAGAAACGATAGATAGACCATTTAGATCTGTAAACAAAATGCATGGTCACTTTCGTAATTTTTTCAAAACTCGACCAAAGTCATATAGATCCGACATATATGAGTCTCGTTGTATTCTTTAGCAACTGAAAATTGTTTAAAATATTGATATAAATTCACTAATCAAAATGGATCCTGGTGGATTCTGGTGGATTCTATGGATCCTGGTGGAATCTACGGCTCCTGGTGGATTCTAGAATCCATCGGGAGCCACCAGGAGCCGCTTTTCCCCCCTTGATTCTTCTCCTCTTTTGACACGGATATCCAGTTATACATTTCACTTTTCTTTCTAAACAAGTTGTGCCGATATTGATGACACGCTTCTATGATTCTCCTTCATTCTCTTTCTGTTCTCTTTCCGTCGTTCTAATATATCTCTCTCCTGTCTCTCTCCTATATATACGTGTGTTATGTATGAAGTTGTGACACTCTGGATATGTGAAGAAGCGAATAAACATCATTGCCGAGAGTGGCGGTAAGCTACTCCACCTCTATCTAGTTTGTCATTATGTATCAACCCCAAGCAGGGGCATATTGATCGTTACACAAGTTATATCTTCATTTATTACAATACCTTGATAAAGTTCTCGAATTGGATACATCAAACAAGCATGATTGTATTCGTATGCGTGTAAGTCTGAAAATGAGATTTTCTGGGTATGGGTGACGGTGTGGATATGAATGCTAGTTTGGGTATGCCTGTCCCTGTGCCTATCGGACATTCACTTTCTTCACACATCCACACCCAACTTACTTCCTATGTTGATATGATATCAAAATACTATTGTAAAATATTTTCTATTGTGGATGTATGTCATTGTCTACGCAACAATACCTTTATTTTATTTTCCAGCACTTGCATACAATCTTCTAACGTTAATCTAATTATCTCTCTGTTTTTAATCATGCTAAACTTTCTCCAAGCCGTCAATTTTCCCTTTTGAAGATAGTGTGAAATCACGTTAACATCTTTAATATCACTAATCATCCGAAAATAGTCAATTAGCCGTGGTGTGGTACCATAGTTATTTGACCTTGAAATTCTTGTAAAAATAAGAAAGACCAATCTTGTTCATAAACAGCAGGTAATAAATCTAACATTCCCAATACTCGTAAGTTTTTTTTTCATATCTTCTTTCAAAATTAATTTCATGGCTGCTAATAAAAATCCTCCACGATATGCTCCTCCGTGTAAACGCCAACCTGATGGTAGGCCACCTTGTCCACGAGCATTAAAAAAGAAAGGAATAATATGTGGATTTGTTTGACTTACTAAAAAGTAACTACATCCAAATACTTCTGACAAGTAATTTAACGGTATATCATTTTCAAAACTTCCATCTCGGTATTTTAATCCTTCACCATCTAAAGAACTATAACTTATTTGACCATCTTTATTCACTATTTTCTCAATTAAATGAACTGGATGAATTAAACCAGGTACAACTGATGAAGCTAATACAGCTGAAGCAATTGTTACATTTGGAGTTGATAGATAATTGAGACAAAGTGGTGGAGAATGTTTTCGTGCATTTGTAGCGGTGATATTTAATATACGACCAGTTTTTTCATATGCTTCTTTGAAAGTTAAGCCAATTTTTTCGAATCCATCTGCTCCAGCAAACCATTGTAATTTTTCTAACCAAACATCTTGATCGAACATAGCTCGGCATTTGAAATAACGTTTAATTCGATCGATCCACGGAGCATCAAAACAATTCAAATGAGGTAATAATACTTCAGCTTGTAATGTTGATTGTAGTTCGTCGTCTGATCTTGTACATACAACAGCTGCTATTATGGCTCCACTACTTGTACCACTTATAATTTTAGGTAAATAACCGGAACATACGAGTGCTTTTACAACTCCCCAATGATAGTGACCAATTCCAGCACCACCAGATAAACATAGTGCTGTTGCGCCATAATGAGATTTCATAGCTTTTAAAGCTTGTAATACAAATTTAGTTGATAGAATTCCCTTAGAAGAGTTATCAGTAGTTAAATCGTTGATAGTTTGTTCGATAAATGGACTCTGTAATGCAGAATTATCACTATTGATATTGGTATTTGTCAGTAGCTGTGTTGTACTAGGACTAGTTAATAAAGGTGAAAGATCATCAGACTTATTTGTTGTAACACTATGATGCCTTTCATCCGCTTGCGCAGTCGTAATAGAATTATCAATTGTTGATGATAAAACATGCGTTGGATGTGTTTTGCAGACTTTAAGCGATTGAGCTTGTTCCGTTAAATACTTTAAACTAGTGACAATCTCTTTAATATATTCTTCCATAACACATTTAGTTACAACTAAGCTTTTTGAATATAAATGTTCATTAAGAATTCCATTCATACTTTTATTAATACACATTTGTAATTTTTTAATAAGTTTTTCACTATCTCTCAATTCTCGATATCTTTTCAATTCATCAGTAAATGTTCGAGTTAAATTTTCATCATAATATTTTGATTCAGAACTTGCTTTCCATATTTCTCTTCCATGTAATTTATCAGTTTCAAAAGCATATTCATACCATTCTTCATAAGTTTCAGCATTATTCAATGTTGATGGTCGAATAAATATTGATTCTAGTAAACGAATAAAATATCGTAATAATATGTAAAGAAATAATTCAGCGAGAACAAATGAAATAAAAAATAAAAATATTGGCCATTTTAATACACGACGAGTACCCAGCAAAAGACAAAAGAATGATATAATAGCAATCGTTACATATAATGAATGTGTTGCTGTAATAGTATAGTCAAACCATTGAAATACTAGCTGAGGTAATATGATAAATAATTTATTTTCGTAAATAATGTAAAGCACCACGCAAACGATAAATAAACCAATAAACATGGCTGAAATTATTCACGAGCAATTTAAATACGATTAAGAACAATATTAGAATTTTGTTTTCGTAACAAATAAAGCAGACGCAACTTGTTGTTTTCTTCTACTTAAAAGTTAAAATCTATATTATTCTACATGTATGTATATATATATATATAATTTTATAGTATCTACGTCGAATATCTTCTATCAAGACTCCCATATTCTATTCTAAAATGTAATCTTTCCTTTTGTGAAGTTGAAGACTGAAAAAGGAGCAGTACAATAAGAAAAACGTTTCCCGCTTTAAGAACATTTAAAAACATCAGAAAGAAAACGTACGAGTGGTGGAGATGGCAAGGTGATAAGACAGCCACACAGTTCTCACTTAAAATCACATTGAATATACTGAATTTAATTTGCCGTGAAGAGAGTAGATTTTTAACTGCCAAACAATTTTTCAATCTTCAGAATTATTACTTTGCATAAGGTGCATAAGCAACATGAACGTGAGGAAGCGCATCCCAATCGAGATATAGTTACTTGTACTGCAAACATGATATAGAACATTGCATATCAGCAGCCAAAACTTGAGTGATGAATAGGGATGTTCGGTTCTCGACTTAGAACCGAGTCGAAAGGAAACGCGATTCCTGTTTCGAAGTTAGAACAGGACCTGGGCTCTCGGTTCTTAGCTTAGAACCAGAAAATAATTCTTTATATTTATCAAGCTGACATTCATGGTATGCTAGCGTTACTTGAGCGTACAATGAAGAGAGTCCTACTCACTGATCTCTACACTCACAATCACCAGTCGTGCTTCGCCAAAAGTCGTTATCACAAACTTCGATATGCCCTTAGATAAAAACAAAAAGAAGAGTTGCATTTTGCTTTCTTTTCTCCGCCGAAAAGAGAGCCACCCAATTCACGTGTTATCAGCATGATATCCTATCGCTTTCACATCGTTGTGTTTGCTTACAGAATTTGAAAAAAAGAAAAAGACAACACATTACAAGTGTGTAGCTGACTGAAGCACGTTGCCAACGAGTGCAGAACGCAGACATTTTTTTCCGCTGTTGTCTTGATCCTCCACATAGAATTGAGAGCGAATCCATGGTAAACCCACCACAGCGTGGTATAATTCGAACGGCGATGGGCTCTTGACATCCAATTTTACGTATCTAGAGATGGGTGTGGGTGTTAGTATGGGGTGTGTCTGGGTGAAAAAACGACCCACACTCCATTATTGAAAAGATTAGTGCATAGATTGTCATTTGTTCGTTCTTTTCAATGAAAAACAAGCAAAACAATTGATTTGCTTGATTGAAGTTACCTGAATAGAAAACAGTCGAGTCTTCATCATATAGTTATCAGATGGTCAAGTGATTCAGATTATCTAGTAGAATTCAATATTTAATTTCATTTTAAATTTTAAATAAAGAAAAAATAAATGTTAATTATTTTTTGTTTCTTTCAAATTTAAATACAAATGAAATTTCTATTGACATGGCAGTTTCTTGATCCAATTCATTGTGACACCTTTATAAAGATCTCATTTCATTTCGTCATTTTAATGTTAAACCTATCAAATCGATAAGAAACTGTTCAACTAACAAGAGCAGCAAAAGCACAATAACATGTCCTTTTTACTGCATTTATCGATCGATTTTCAGTGAAAGCTAAAGAGAAGAATTCTTTTTTTTATGAAAATCCCGACTAATTCTACTTCGACGAATATATTTTAATCATTCATCTATATAAAAATAGTTCCTGCATTTGGAATAAATTTGAAAACATTTCTTGAATACTTTCGAAACGTAATATTGTTAGAAATACATTGAATAAATGTTTTTAATTAAATTCCAACATATCACGATAAAATACGAAATAATTCAATGAGAAAATTACTTGAATAATTCCCGAGAAAGAATTAATAAATATTTTTTTAAACATACGTATGTTCATTCGATCTCGTACTACAGTATTGATGAGGATGGGTGTGGGTACGAGTGCGATGAATATAATATTCATACCTTCAAGAAGATCATCTACTTTTTTTCTGTGATTTGAATTATTCGTATTTTTAACTGATTTCTTTATTTGTCATTAACTGAAATATAATATGTATCTCTTTTCAATGCCTTTATGACAACAACAATCTATGAGAATTTTATTGTTACTAACTAAAACATGCTTCTATTTGTTCATAAAAAATAGAAAACTGGTGAATGGAATAAATAAATAAAAAGAATTCAAATTGCTTCAATTTGTCTATACTATCTATTTGTTTTCCATTCAATGATATAACTCTTGCACGTCGATATTAGACTAGGTAGCTAATCTTTTCAGAATATTCTTTTGCAACTTTTTTATTTTTCTCACTATTTCCATCCTGTATTAATATGATAATTAAATTGGATATGGCGGAATAAACACTGTTTGACATTAAAAAAACTTAGAATTAAAAGAAAAATATTTTTATTGAATATCAGATAGTATCTTATTATTAGACAAAAATATTTCACAAAATTATTTGAGTTTTATAGAATTTCTATCTGATCTAATTCCTCAAAATCTTCAACTATTTACTGATACTTTGTGCAGTGCTGGCGATTGATAATAGAAACGAGCCATTTTTCTCATGTGTATTTGTGACTCGATACTTCAAAACATTCTTATTGTCAATTTGCTTTCAACAACCTGCACAGTTGGATGTTTGACATATCAATAATATTATTATTTGCTAGACGTGTCTATAGGCAATTGTTTGCTTCTTGATATCATTCATCAACCTACGGAAAAAGAAGAAAGTTTGCATTTTGCTTTGGTGAAATGATTATTTTTAATAATTAGTATGGATTGAATATATTTATACGTTGAAAATATCTTCTTCTAATCATTAGTCTGTCAAGAAGTTCTTTGAACAGATTAAAGTATTTAATTAATACAGAAAATACATTGGCTGTGCAAATGGTATGATTGTATCTATTACACAAATGTAACAGCTGGAAATAACGAAACGATACGGTATATTGCATCTGAACAAATTAAAATGTGTTATGAAATCGTTCGTTTTCAACAAACAACTACTTGAGAAAATTCTGCAAAAGAATGCAATTTTAGAAATTTGAAAGTGATGAAATATACTGCTTATATAACAAGCGGGGTCAGTCATTTCTGCAAAGCATTCATTCATCCTTAGATTTGTAAGGATGTCAATGTAAGTATACTAAACACATTCGGCAAGTTTTGTGAATACGAGTATAGGACAATGAACACATTTGAAGACGTAATTTGATAGCAATTTTATTTGAAATCAAAATATCGCATTGGAAGTTAATCATGGAACAACATCATATGTTATACTACTCTAGTTAATTGTTACTTTGGACTTCTATGTTTAGCTTGGCAGAACATATGTGGTAGCAAGTACTGTTCTTAATTTGTTTTTTTGACAATGAAATAGTTCAAAGAATTAACATCAGACCTCAGTAAACTATTATTTTCATCACATACTGCATAGTTCATTTGTGGTAATGGACAATTCCATGGCGATGTATTTAACAATTTGATTACTGTTATAATTATAGAACAATCATATTATTCTGTCAGACTGGGTTATGCATATTGAAAATATGATTTAAAATGGACACTTAATAACAGCCATTGTGTACAGAGAGGAAAATATAGACAAAACATTTAACTCATATGGATGAACTAGAGAAATGCATATTCTACCTGAAATGTGTATTAATCAGTGGAGTTAGTACTGCTTGTAACGATATGATGGATCATTTTCGTTCACTAGCTGAAAACAAAAAAGATTAATTATCCAGCAAGACCTGTTTTCAAACTAGAGTGTCAAACAGTGTACATGCTATATGAAGGGAAATTGTCGTCAGTATTACTCTATGTATTTTTTAATGGTAGTATCAAATGTATTGGTCATCCATTCAATGGATTCATTTTGGATTATATGACTACATTGATGTATATTTCTGTAGTGATTGTAACACATGAAGGAATTCTCTAGTCCGCAGTATAATAAGAATTGTCGAAATCACACCAGACAGTCACTTTTTTCTGTTTGCTGCGAAAATATAAAATGCATTTGAAAACATTGTGTTCAAATTAATATGGTTGATAGTTGGTATGATGAAGATAAAATCAATGGTTAAAGATGTTGTCTGACAAAACAACATCGATTCAATTGTTCTGAAAAATCATCTAAATGTTGATTAGTCTTATCAATTGGAAACGATTCTTTGGAATGAAACCAAGGCAAAGATGAATACATAATACGATTGAAGTGGAATTGACGTGAATAGGGGTGCATCAGCTCAAGCTCAAAAGCTCAGCTGAGCTGAGCGAAAAAGCTGTTCGAAAGTTCATTTCGGTAGGAGCTGATTGGTCTGAACAGCTCCTTTTAAAAGAGCTGATCTGATCGAACAGCTCTCGTTCATGAACTGAACTTTTTCAACAGCTCCTTTCAAAAGAGCTGATTTGATCGAACAGCTCTCGCTCAGGAACTGTTCGTTTTAAGCTGATCTTTTTTAAACAAATCTGTACAAAAGAGGTAGTTTGATCGATCAGGTCTTTTGAAAAGAGCTGTTAAAAAAAAGTTCAGTTCGTGAACGGGAGCTGTTCGATCAAATCAGCTCTTTTGAAAGGAGCTGTTGAAAAAGTTCAGCTCATGAACGAGAGCTGTTCGATCAGATCAGATCAGCTCTTTTAAAAGGAGCTGCTCAGACCAATCAGCTCCTACCGAAATGAACTTTCGAACAGTTCCTTCGTTCAGAGCTAGAGCTGAACTATTGCCCCCCTAGACGTGACCGTAAATGTAGAATATTCAATTCCATCGAATGTAATGTTCTCAAAGCCGACACCCAATCACCTTCAGAAGTACAGATCGATAGGCAACGGGAAAGTTCATTGTAGTTCGACAGTATGACAATGCTATGTGCCAATTACCGAAAGATTTGAATGGATCTCTTTGCGAAGAATGGAAATGTCCAAAAGATTAGTATCAATGTTTTTGGGTGGTTATTGTATCCAACTTGATGACTTATTATCTGGATCTTTAATAGAATGATATTGTCCCAATGTGTCATATGAGATCGCTCTTTTTCGGATCGTACAACTATCGAAACACAATTACGCATCGATCATTTTGGTCTGAACAATTTAAACCAACAAAGACGCCTTGATTTATCTTTTCAAATGAAGTTTGTGTCTTTTATTAGATTTTGTAATCACATGGAAGAGTATCGATCAAGGGGGGAAAAGCGAGACTCCTAAGTTGGAGTACAGTGAAGTACGGGTGGAGTACAGCGAAGTACAGTGGAGTCCATTCGAAGTACGAGGAGTACGTACTCACTAGACTTCAGCTAGACTTCACTCTACTCCACCCGTACTCCGCTGTACTCCAGCTGTACTCCAACTGTACTCCACTGTACTCCACCTGTACTTCACCTGTACTTCGCCTATACTCCGGAGTACTGGAGTCTTGCTTTCCCCCCCCCCCTTGGTATCGATGCATATTAGTCAATTTTACTGATCCATTCAACTTTACTATTAATCGGCTTTGTATTAAACTGACGAAGATAGGCAATGGTATTTTTGATTTTTATGGAGGATTAGATGAATGGAATGTGTTGTCTTGCGGCAATAGTGTATTTGACCAACGTGCTTTTGATTTCTATTGCAACAATGAAGAATGTATAGATCACTGCTCAATTAAAGCAAATATTCTACTATGTGATCAGTGAGCAACACTATTACATCCATCTTGTCCACATTCTACACGTCATGATCTCTGTATGAATGATCATCCACGAGAATGTCAGTTATTTGAAACGAGGAAATATTATCGTGATCGTGACACAGATCGACTATATAAGTAGCATATTAGGCTAGTGAGAATAACTATATATAATGTAATCAAAATGTTTCCTATAAATTTCTGGTGATTATCTCATAATTAATTTTGAGATCATTTTTGTATTAAATTCTATTTAGGCAAGGGATCTGATTGTTTAATTGATATGTACGTTACGAAGATGAGTCTATGTGATATGCTGCTCTTCCGTCTATGCATGTGCAGAAATTGATAGAAAGCGAAAAAAGCTTTTACATAATTACAGATCTTCTTTGAAAAAACCTGGTTTTCTCTCATTTTGTTTTAGGTGTGTCGAGTCTTTAGAGAACTACCAGTGAAGTTTCATTCTTTGACATTATAATGTAATAGTAACTGTTTTCAAGCTTTCTCATTACATCTATCTTAAATGTGAGTGCGTATGATGTTGTTAACGAAGGAACCTTTCCAAGTGATTTATAGTTGTTGTGTCGATATTTTACCCAGAAATAGAACTCACTGAGACTACAAAATAATGTTTCTTAGCGAATGCAAGACTCCGAGAAAGAAGCATTCGTTTTGGTTGACACTTTTAGCCTATAATACACAGACCAAAAGATCTGCATGTTGGCAAAATTTCAGATCGAAATTATGTGCTTTGCTTTTTCAGTGAATCTCTTGTCAGAGGTGGTAAATCAAATCAAATGTTCATAACTCGAGAAAGAACGTCTATGGATTCGTCTTTTTTTAGTCTACGTGAGTCCTACTTATGGGAAAAATATCGGCGCAAAAGCTGTGAATCACTTGGAAAGGTTCCCTCGTAAGCTTTATTTAACAAAATGGATGTCGTATAACAATACTGATCAGAATAGACATTTGCGAGTATTAAAACGACATAGAAGTACCCGTGAAACAGAAACACCCAATATTATAAGACGAGTACTCGACTTTCATACTCAGTTCCTGACACCAGTACTACTGCTAAGTACTCATCAGCTCGCGCAGCAATTTCTAGTGTGAGTACCTTCACTAGGGAGGTTACATTCGCTCAACAACACATTTAATAGAGTAGTGATTTATGTATTGCTGAGTGATCAATCATGTGACTAGTAAATAGAGAAAGTTATTAGTGAAAACGAGTATGTGTATTTCTAATGTATGAAATATACATAAAGAAAATGTTCACAGGATAAAGTCTATAAGACATTTCTACAGTTATATTAATTAACACTGCAAACGCTAAAAAAAACTACATCTGAATATTTTCTGTTGTACATTTATCGTTGAAATGTTAATAAACAGCAATTGCCCGATGTGATTTCCTTCTTGTTTTTCTTACTTTTTAAATATGTAACGAACTTCAAATTTGCTCGTCCACATAAACACTGTTCGCGTTGTTTGAATAGTTGAACTTGTTTGAAAACGATCCATTCCTTTTTTTGAGAAATTCAATAATAATCATTTGTTAAAAGAATTTTCAGATGTCGAATCTATTTTTCGATAATACATACCTTCTGAATTGATGACCATGTTTTCCCAACACTTAGTTTTATTATTTTTGACCGAAATTTTTCTCCAGTTTTATTTACAAATAATGACTTCTTATCTGTTTGACTAGTTTTGCTTGTCCATGATGAACCACAAAAGGGAGCACGCATTAATTCAGAGCGTTTACAGACGATTTTTAACAACTTCGTTTTTAATTTATTAGTCATAATGTGCCTAATATCAGGTGAAAACTTTCTAGAATTTCGTTTGGAAACGACCGCTAAATAGCTTGTTCTAATCACCAATCAGTTTGATGTGTAGAAGTGAATAATAATAAATCTCTTTTTTTTATTTTGTTTGAAGATTGATTAGATAGTATATCATATATAGAATATAAGTGGGTGTACCCAACTTGGAAAGGTCAAACATTGGGCACAACGAATGGTGAGGGAAAATTATTAATTAGACCTTTTCCATAGAAAACGAACGAACAGAACGCAAGAGTATATGTCCGTTCTAGCAAAGATCAATCAAGTAGAAACAGAACATTAGTTTGACCTTTGAACTTTTCTGATTTTAATATGAAGAATACACAAAACTTTAACCCCTGTCTCTCTCCGTCTCCCCTCCCGCTCTCCTCGCTCTCTTCTCCCTATTTTACCCTGGTCCTTTCAACCCCTCAAGATCTATTTTTCGTTCTTTCATCGTGTCCTTCTGCTTCAAGGGTATATGTTTAAACAGACTGGTCCATATATAGTGTGTACAGTTGATAAAAAAAAAATGCTATCTTGTTGAAGATATTGATACTGTTGGCGAAGTTATAATTGAAAAAAACTCGAAAAGAAATCTAAACTTGAAAAAATCTTTTTTGAATAAACAGAATAAGTTCAAACTAAATGACTTTTTATTTTAATTATATAAAGGATATTTATGTTAAATGAATATCTGAAGTCTATTCTATGATCCAAAACCATACACACAACATCTGGTATAGTCAATCACTAGATGATTTGAAAAACACCGTTGTTTTCTGTTTTAATTACAGTCGGTAGACAAGATAAAAAAAAACTCTTGTCAAAAGAGGCAAAATTGCAATTTTTTTCTTCCGCTTATCGTCACTATTCTCGTACGATATCAGATCATCCTGAAAAACAACAACTTCCATGAGTTTGGTTTAACTCATGCTCTAGTATATAAGATGGTGATCGAAATCATCAATTACACAAGAACAAAATGGAAAATTTCTTTTTCACTGAAACAGAACTTAATTCGTTTTAATAATAATGTCTTTTCATTTTATTCCTCGAACACGAGTGATGACAGAGGGTGAAGCATTTTTTAAAGATCTTCACATTCAGCGTTCACCCACCAACACCACATTTACACTAAGCGTGTTACTTTATATTTGCCTAAACAAATAATAATTTAAAAAAATCTTTCTAATGAAAACGTAAAATTTGATCTTTCTTCCACGACTTACAGAAATTCTTATCTATTTCCTCATATCCGAAAAAAATCTTTCTCTATTCCTTATTTTGAAGTGGGTGCAAATGAAAGCTCGACGGCGAGGGGAATTTTTTTATTTCTCACTCACACTCAACGTATACACATTCATACCTACAACCTCACACATCGAAATAAAAAGTATATATAGAATTTGATGACTTGATGTAATAATTTGATTGAATACGAATGTTTCCATCTAGTACTATTTGATCGACGAAGTGATAAATATTCCAGATCATTGTTATTGTTAACATTGTAAAGATTTATGCATGAGGTTAAATCTTTTAATTTGAAGAATACTACATCTGTTTGACATATAAAAATATATTTGACGAGAAGATTAATTAAACTAATATGTCCTTTCGAATTATCAAAAGAAATATTTTCTCTTCGCACAATTACTAAATAGAAATGAAAAAAACATACTTTTTTGTTTGTACATTTATATCCAACTAAATTCTATTAGTTCTGAGAGATTTCATTTAATATTTCTTCCATTTTTGAACTACAAGAAAATATATAGAAAAAAAACGATTTAATCAATTCTTGGTTCTCATATCCCAACGCGTGTTTGTTTGATTGTGGGAATTTGAAGTATGTCTAAACTACAGCAGAAGTGAACAAGTCATGAAGAGAACGACAATGAACCGTTCTAAAGATATCTCGTCAGATTTTCTTGTGCGCTTTTCTAGTGTTATTTATTTCAATATTAAAATATTAGTTAGGAATAAAAAATCTAAAATTTACAATGCGTTCGAATATGTGAATTTTACAAAGTTCGGAACATTGTTTTTTTTTCATTTTGTCTCGTCGCGACTATTTCGAAATGTCCCGATCCCGATTGTTCTGCGGGACAGGACTTTTCGGGATTGTCTCGCAGATCTCTAGTATGTGCCGATATTTTTACTTTGAATAAACGATCGTTTTACGTAAATTCTGGTGCTTGTGTTCTGAAATGATTTATCTTCATCAATGAAAAAAGTCCAAGTGACGAGTTGATGTTTTTTTTAATGATAACAACAGTGAAATTGTTTCTATTTAAATGAATGAGCTTTTGTTCATGTTTTTATTTAAATAAGCAATTATAATAATCAAGGTATTTAGCAAACAGAAAATAATCTTTTAAATGTTCATGAAATTCTGATTTGTTAATAAAAAAGATGTCTATCAGTTTTGCACAATTATTTCGTGTTTCATTTTTTGTGATATTATGTATGACGTTCTTTAGTAATTGATAATCTGTTAGAAGAAAAATGCTATTTGGTAAAGACATTTTAGTCTTAAGTAAAAATTGTTCAAGATAATCTTCATGAATTTTAATCAGATTAAGATGAATAAGATAAAGATATTTAATGATTGATAAATTTTCATTTTCATGATTTGATTGTTTAAATAGTTGATTTCGATTAATTAAACTTAGTTTTTGCAATAATGGAAACGATTTTTGAATTTGAAGAAAAAGTTGATGTTCAAAAGGACGTTCATCAAATAAAGATACTTCAAGAACGCATTTAAATATTCCTTCAAGAAAATGATTTGTTGTACCATTGTAATATTTCAATAGATATGGATATGTATAAATATGACGTTGACTATAATTTCTTTCTTGAAAATAATCCACACAAGAAATAATTTTATTATCTTTAAAATCATTGAATGTATGTTGAATATCTTCATTTGATTAAAAAAAACGATTGATTGATAGAATATTAAATGTAAGTTTGTTTAAAAATGGTAAATGATTTATAACATTCCTCTTCAAATCATTCCTATCAACAAATGTATTTCTTCTCGAAACTTTAAAAACACAAAATCGGACATTCGCTGTAGAAGTATTACCATTAATTTATCATAAGCATTCGTATTTCTACTACAGTACAACGAACATGATCTTAAATTAGGCAGTTTTTTCTGAAACAAAAAAAGACGACAAATGTTCGTGCATTTCAATAAATTACATATTAATCCCAAATAGCACTCATCCGATGGATTCATCAGCTCTTTTCTGAAAGATACGACAATGACACTATATTTGAAAGAAGAAATGCTCCTTTAAACCTCATCATCATTGTTCAATTGGTAATTTTGCTGCGAGATCTTCTTTGTATGACGCTACAACTCACCTTCGAATTAGTCGGCACGAATATTTTTGATTCGCAACTCTTTATTGTTGTGTGTTTGTTTCTTAGAAAAACTCAAATTGTCACACTACAAAAGCTATTTGTAAAACTCTACTCAGAATAGTCCCGTCGTTTTCAGTATAACTTTGGACATTTCTACCAAAATAGCGTTTTGCAATGGAACATGAACTTTTTTTCACATAAAACAAACTACAAAAACTTCATTGACAATGTTCATACTCGATTATCCTTGCTCCAAGATTTTAAAGGATATTAAATATTATTTCTATTTGGATATGCCAAGTTGCATTCTGATTGGCTTGGACTGAGAAACTTTAAAGCTATTTTCTGACATGTTGTTTTGTGATACAACCCGTTCTTTCAAAAAAAGAGAAAAATAATCTACTTGATTATTATTTGGTAAAATCGATGAAGAAATGGAATTAATATTAACATGAAGTATACGAAGTTGATTTAAAAGTCCATCAAGTAAATAAAGGCAATCGGTAAAACACGTCAGACAAACGTGTAATTCTAACAGAGTTGAAGAACAAATAGTTGGAGATGAACAAATATTTAAAAATCGTAGATAAATGAATGTACTAATGATACGTGTAAATATAAATGCATTTACATCTTTTTTTGAATTCAGTTCTCCGTTTATATTAATACTGATAACAAGTGAGAAAATTTGATTTTTGAACGCACGAGTAAACGGACTTTTATCTAAACAATGAGTTTAAAATAAATCGGAAAAATGATGTATTCTCTAAAGTATGTTAGCACAGCTTCTTGGAGTAGTTGTGTTTCAAGGATAATTGATTGTGCGAGAAACGATTTATCTTAATATCTACCGCAGGTCTCAACACGCGATTATATATCTAATTATAACTCAGAAACACTGATCTTAATATTTCTCGAAAGTCAGAATTTGATTAGTTCATGCTTTTGGTATTACTTAAATGATATTTGTGAGAAATCAATACTACAATAATGATTTTCCTTGATATATATTATATAATCGTTTATCTGCGCTATTGAGAACAATTCGAAAATGTATTCCAGTCATAAAAATTTCCAAGAAGATTTTAGCATGTTGATTGAAGGCCCCAATATTGAAGAGGCTCAAGACTGTGATCGGATCACTTTTTTTGACATATTTCAAGTTTCCAAATAATAAGGTAGTATATAAATGATAATTTCAAAAGTTAAAAAACCTTTTTTTACGACATAATCTTGACCGTATTTTGAGAATGAACACCTATGAACACGAACCCTTATAGCATTTTCTTATTCTCACTGAGTTCTACCTACACCCAAAAGATAAAGCCGAAAGCTCGCAACCCGTTGGAGTATTTTCCTCGATTGCTCAGGAAAGATTCCCACTGATTGACGTTTGGTCACTTTCACTATGGAAACAGTAGCGTCGAAAAGGGGGCAAGAAAATTTTGCCTTAAAACATACATTTATATGTTCTAAACTTGTTCTCTTTCATAATTTGCCTCTTTGACAACAGAATCGATGTTCGTTTTTACTCGTCGTTTTCATAGATCAAAGGTCAAATTTGATAATAAAACGTAGGATCAAAACTCGATGGTAAATATTAGATTTTTAAAGTGACAGTCTATATGGAAAAGAAAAACAGATTGTTGGACAAAATTTAATATTCACTCTGGAGCTTTAACGTTTGATCTTTGATCTCTAAAGATCAAACTTAAAAGAAGGTCTATGCCACTGACGACGTGTCAAATTATGAAAGCGAACAAGCTTAGGAGATAATTTATAATTGTTAGTGCTCGTTTAGCTTATTACTGTGCTTCATCAAATTGTGTGCAGTCTGTAACTTATTCAATGTTTGTAGAGTCAGGATGTTAAGTTCTATTCTATTCTGTATTCATTTCGATAGTTGTTAGCATTTTCTTTTGCACAAATTTATGTAGAAAAATTTAAGTTAAAAATAATATGGAAGCTTTTTATTTTGGTATTTTTTATAAAAATATTTGTTTTTTTTATTTGAAATGTTCTCTTTGATATCAGTTTTCTCCTTATTCATATTGATAAATAAATATGAAATTGATTCAAATAAATTCATCGCACATATAATTTCAAAGTGTTTATGATTGGAAGAATCAAAGTGAAATATGTTACCATTAAAAAGCTATAAAGCGACTTCTTCTTGAATGTTAAATAAACCAAATTCGAATAATTTGTAGCAAAAAGAATACATTTCATTGAGAATGGTTCAAGATCTAGCCATTGAATTTTATCATGAATCTTAGGTAAGACTTGTAAACAAAATCGATCAAGTATTGGATTACATAATGGACAAAAATAATAATTCATTAAAGATATCAGCAAAGTTAAACGATTCGTAAAAATAGAATCATATATTATTTTATTTAATCGTTTGTTAACACCTAATAAAGAGTAAAATGCCTCGATATTAGACAATTTTTCAAAATAAACAGGAGAATTTCATCGGGTAAATCATTCAATTGAACACAGGAATATCCCATGTTTATCTACACGTAAAGCTATTTTGCTTAGTTTATAAATGCCAATATCCACACATTCATGTATTGTATTTGACCGATATCGTCAACAAAAACAGTGATACATTGTTCTATAATATAAATTGACGATGAACGAATGTATAACTGATAGAATGATTCTTTTCCCTCTTTTTTTAGGTGGCTGTGGCTGTGGACATTGCTGCCGGTGTCGGCATAGGTGTGGGTGTGATTGTGGTTGCGTGTCGGCTTGGATATTCTCTTCAGCCACAACCAAACCCATATCCACCCGAGAAGCCAAAAGTATATAATTTTCTCTCATCAAAATGCTAAAGAAATCTCTGAACGTTTCCGCTAAGATGAGAAATCGTAAGGTTTACTCATGATAATTTCTGACATAGAACGGTACATTTGTCTGCAACGATGATTTTAATAGTCAATGATGCCATCTGAATCTTATTTGTAGTGATCGAGTCAATATTTAGCTGCATACATACTGTTTATTGGTTTTTGCCTTGGAATTTTATACTATACACTATTTTCATATTATACCAAAGAGTATACAATACACCGATCAAGTAGTAAATTGACCGGATCTTTGCAACGATGACCAAATTAACCAATACATTCAGCTATTCCGCATTCCATTTGAATCTATTTATTGTGAATTATTGATTCTGTTGCTCTTTTCTTCTTTCAAAACATGCATCTTTTATTCGGTAAACATAACTTAAGTGGGTCATCGCAACTCTCGCTTACGTTTGTCATTGAATTGATGCCCCAGATGGATCTTGGGTTCAATATTTTTTATGCTCAAAATTTATATTTTCGTGTATGAACAACAGTTCTCGCGGACATCTCTCATTTTCATTGTCAATGACCTTATCGCTTGCAAAAGAAACTGTCATACAATTTATCGCTTGAAAACCGCTTCTAATCAATTCTATGTGTCGAAATTTAAAAACAAAATCACTACTGCTGACATTCTCACTTGTCACTATTGACTGTGATTTGAAAATGAGAAGGGGTGAGGGGGGCGTTAACTGAAGAAATCGGCCTATTCGAGAAATCTCATTTCTTCTATGCCAAACTGTCACAAAAGGTGTCCAAAATTGATCGCTGGAAGAATTAGTCCTATTGCACTTGTTGGTGTTGCACACAGGCCGTTTGAAATAGTCAATGGCTGTCACATACATAAAATCCGACTGTTGATGATCATCAGATTTTTTTCTCTACCAATCCGATGAGTGGCCAGGTTAGTTTCATATGGTTTGATAGAGCTTTGCAAGCGCTACAAAATGGTATATAAACATCCAAGAAAAAACAATGGCCGGTATGACTACCGATGGACAATATTTTTAGACAGTTAGGATTCGATCTGTTCTTTTCAAGATGAGGGGGTGGCCACTAGAAATATATTGAAAATCTGTTTTACCAAAAGAATCGGCGAATAGTTGCGTACTAGAAATACTCTGGGATGGTTATTGACTCTGGGCAAATCGTCGAATTTTTCAATTTCCATTGTGGTAGTTTATTCAAATAAGGCAGCAATGTGACTGAGAAACATGAGGAAAGATTTATTTTTGAGATCATGGTTGATCATTGTCGTCTGTCGAATCGTAGAATTCGGAAAGCTGACTTGCATCTGTAACTAGATTGATGTAGTTTCCAGATGGCATGCGTCATTTCTCAATTTGCCATCGTTCAAAGGAGAGGAACCAAACTGCACTTGAAATGTGACTGCATGATCCGATATAACGATTGCCTATGGGGCAGTCGCACCACCAGTTCAATATTTGTTCGGCAGAAAATTCAATGGTAGGATGATAAGTTTTTTAGCGCTGTGAGCAGACTGAGTTGGTACACGAATAAGATTTCGATAATCTCTAGCTTGTTGGACTGTGTAATTTACTACTCCAGTTAAATCTGTGGTAGAACACTTTTCCTCTGCATAAGATCTTGTACGTTTCAGTTTAAAAACACCTTAAATAAAAGGAAAGATATGAATATCAGAATGAATTCAATATAAAAGGAAGTACCAACTGTGATATCTCCAATATCAACCTCAGATAATATTGGGAAACTATTCATGATGTCCAGGTGGGATCTGGACAGTTGCTCGCAGGACAGTTGCTCGCTAGGACAGTTGCTCGTGTGGACATTTGCTCGTATGGACACTTGCTCGCTAGGACACTTGCTCACGAAAAATAAATTCAAGTAATTATATGAATGAGACATAGGGGTGTGGGTGTGGGTGCGAGGTATGAATGCGGGTGTGGAGGTGGATGTTTTTGCGTGAATTATGAGTCAAATAACACTCACAACCACACCCACACCCACACCCACACCCACACCCGACTAATCATTAGAACCATAATGATCATCAATCTGCTGTATATGTAGTTTAATCAGTTCTGCTAATTTTGTTCTGAATTCTACCACTTACAACTAAGTGATGATCTCATTCACGAGCAAATGTGCTAACGAGCAATTGTCCAAACGAGCAAATGTCCACACGAGCAACTGTCCTAGCGAGTAACTGTCCTAGCGAGCAACTGTCCTAGCGAGCAACTGTCCTAGCGAGCAACTGTCCGCGAGCAACTGTCCGACGAGCAACTGTCCTGCGAGCAACTGTCCCAAACCCGTCCAGGTGGTTAATCGTTTCCCATTTTGCTGGAGATTTGACCAAATGATTTCGTTGAAGAAACTAAGAAATGAAGCAAACAACTATGTTGGAATGAATATGATTATATGAATTCCATTACTTGTTCGAATGTGTTCTTCTCTAGTAACAATAGCGTTTGTTCCCCTATTTTCTCATTTTGTACAGTGGAAGTTACCATTGGCGACCGATATCGATTAATGAACGACCATGCAATTGAAATGTATGCTTCTAAATGAGGCAATGACGAATTTTGTATGGTATTAGACTAGAACTTGAATTGTTTCAATTGTCCATTTACTGCCTCTACAATCCATCTGACTTTTGTTATACATCTTGACTGATTGGATTCATTGGTTGGGAATTGTCGACGGCCATCAAGGAATGGCGGCATAGCTACTTCTAAACCCAGACCATCCATGATATTAACTGAGTCTCTAAATCCTCTGTCGACCACGACAACATCGTCCTAAATCATATAAGCAACATGTGTTTACCATTTCAAAAGAGAAACTCTACCTCTTTCAACCAATTGATTATATTATCCGTATTCCTATGCAGTATGTTTTTCATAATGGAAGCATCGTTGTTGGCAAAATTTGACAAGAGAGGTCCAATACACGCAATGATGTGGTCAGTGGTGGCAGAGCTGGGCAACTCAACTCAAAAAGCTGTCCAATTCAATTCAATTCATTGAAAGAAAAGTCAATTCAATTCAACTCAACTCGTCGATCTCTAAAGAATTTTTACAACTCAATTCAATTCAATTCGTTTACGTTGAAAACTTTTTTCAACTCAATTTTATTCAATTCATAACTATTGAAAAACATTTTCCGACTCAATTCAACTCAATTTATGTATAATGAAAAAATTTTTAAACTCAATTCAATTACTGAATTGAGTTGAAATCAACTCAGTCTTATTACGAAATTCTATGTAACAAATTTTCTTTTGGTTTATCATTATTTGAACGCGTTAAAAAGAGTTTATTGTTGTTCATAATATAAAAATCGATTCATTGTAAACGAGTCACAATGGGATAATCAGAAAACTTCAAATCAACTAATAAAAAAACAAAGCGTTAAATAATAAATAAAGAAATAGTAGAAAAAAAATGATGAAGTTTGATAAAAAATAATATCCTAAAGCATATATTTAATATAGACCACGATTACATTTGAGCATTGTTAATTGTTGTAAAGTAGTTCGTGTCATTGATGCACGATGTTGACGAAACAGAAATCCGCTCTGACTAAAAACACGTTCAACCGGAGCCGAAGTTGCAGGAATCGACAGAAATTTCATTGCTAATTTTGAAAGAGTGGGATAAATGTTTGAAGGTTTTAAAAGAACCATATCATCTGCATTTTCATCATTCAAGTATTTGAATATCTCATCTTTAATATAGCTGAATGGATCCGACTTAGGTTTTTTGTTTCCTTCACAATGTTGGCAAATAAGTATTTTCGTTTTGGTGTAATTGGACTTGTTGCAGCACTAGCAGATAATGGTTGTGTTTGTGCTGTTGGACTTAATATTGAATTATCATTTTCTGTTGTTCCAAGTGGTGCATTAACTTGTTCAATTAAAATACATTGTTCTAATACAAGTTGTTGTATTTTGCTAGATAATTCTTCTTATACTTGTTCCAAAAGAGATGAACTTGATATCCAATTGAGACGAAATCGACCATCTAAAAATGGTGCTACTAAAAAGACAGGATCTTTGAAAAGATCATAAAAATTTTTCTTTTTTTTCTTTTCTGAAATATCAATAACTAATAACATTTGTTCTAACATACCACCAAAACGAGATAAAAGTGATTCTAATAAACATTCACATAAACTTGATGCATGTTTAACGTTTGCTCGTTCAAGTAAAAGATCCTGATAAATAGCTAAAATTGAAGGTGCTACTATTGAGACTGAAGGAGTCTTTTGTGCTTGTGTGGTAGTTGTAGCTTCAGCAAAAAGTGTTAATAAAGAAACAAATTCATTTAGCATTTGATAATCTAATGATTTAAGACATAATTCTCGATGTTGCGTTTGTATTAAAATGTCATTTAAAGCAGATGGTTGAATACCAATTACAGTCACAACCATATCATATTGTGAATTCCAACGAGTTTTATTGGCATTTGGAACACATACTTGAATATTTTCAAGACGTTCTGCTACTGCTGTTGAAGAATGAGATAACTTGGCTATTTTTGAAATTTTTTCTAATGATGGCTGAACACAAATTGAGCCCTTTAAACCATCGTTAATAACTAATTGAATTGAATGGGCGTAACATGGCAAGCGAAATGATTCATCATCAATAGCAATTGAATCAAGAAATTGTTTAACGACATCTTGAACATCCAACGGCACATTATTATCAATTTTAGCATCATCCGATTCGGTTTGTTCACCATCATTGTACCAATCTGAATATAATTCATCATCATCATCACGTTGAAAATAACATTCAAAACCAGGAATAATTAAACCACTAAATGCTGCAATGTTATTTGAAGCGCTGTCCGTAATTAATCGTACGAGCTTTCCTCGTATACTAAAACTACTAATACATGCTTCATATGTGTCCAATAATACTGGCGCTCGATGTTTACCATAAATTGGTTGAAAAGACAACACATACGATTTAAATTCTGAATTAATGATTGAATGTCCTATAAAAGTAAATATATACAAATATTACTATCTAATAGTAGCCTTCATTAATATTGTTCATACCTGTCAAAGCAAAAAATACACGTTGCCTACGATCTGTCCATAAATCCAAAGTTAATGATATAAACGTTGCCATTGAACAGAACGATTTTAAACCATGCAACATTTTTGTATATAAGTCTGGTAATATTGTACGAGTTAGTGTACGTCGACTAATTGTAGAAAATTTAGGATCAACATTAGACATAAAGGTAATAAAGCCTGAACGTTCAATAAGTGATAATGGAAGACCAAGCTCGATGATTAAATTTTCAACGATAGATTTTTGTAATTCAACTTGACGTGAATGAATGGTTGAATATCTTGAGCTTGATGAATGTTTCACCTTATGAACGGTTATTGTATCAGTAATTTTTTTTGACCTGTTAAACTAATGGACTGTAATTGTTCTTGCCATGATTCATATTCACTTGGATGAAAATCTTTAGCATGACGATTATAATTGGACGTGACACCTTTGGTTCCACGTATTTTACTTTTACAAATTTTGCATGTTGCCTCCCACGATTTCGTTTCATTCGTCATTTTAATATCAGTATAAAATTGATCACGTGCTGTTTTTTTCAGAGCTTTTGTAGCAGGACTTTCATCAGTTGAGCTTGGTGTATCAGATACAGCAATTATTGAACCTTGTAATAACGTTTCAGTTTCAGCAGTATCAGATGCCATGATAAAATCAGTAAATAATATTGATATCACGTACTGTTAAAGTTAGTTTAGCGTTTTATCAGTAAAACGAAAAAAATGCTATTTATTCACTACAGAATAGTTTCCAGTATTTATACAGCAAGAATAGTGAAATAAAGATGAGAACACAGGTATATCGAATCTTTTTGAACAACAAACAGATGCATTATTAGAGATGATATCTTTGAATATAGATACTATTACATCCCTCGATCTTATGTATATGTATATTTATTTCGTTCCATCCAGCTGATACATGCATTTGCTTGTCCTCACTCAGCTGATATATGCACTTAATACGTCCTTTTATCAGCTGCCGTGCTATGTCTTCTCTCGACATGCTTTTTCCATAAGAAAATATTGTTGTTGAATTCTTCTTTTAGCGGTTTATTTTAAACAAATCGAAGACGTTTCTCGAATTTTCTAAACTGCTAATCATTCTGTATGTTAACTTCATCATCGTCCATTACATTATCTAACTGATATCATATCACTTCACCAAAACAAATACCATGCCGATATTAACCATACATAAACAGATGAATAGACATTACATTTATGATTCGTAAGAATCGATACTGATGTCAGTGCATTAAAAACATTAGTAGATAAAACTAATAAACATATCGAACAGATAAAAGCAAAAAATAACGGTGAAATTAAGGAATTTCCAGAGAAATATAAATAGATATAAATAAATATATATATATATTGAAATGTGTAGCAAATCAGCAGCATCAAAACAAAAGACTTGGATAACAACTAAAAACTAAATCATAATCATGCACTGACCATTGCCAATTTAATTATATTAATCAATCATACAGCAAAATTTAGCGAGATTTCTTTGAGTTGAATTGAATTGAACTCATCGATCTTGAAGAAAATTTTTGTAATTCAATTCATTTGAATTCTTTGGTCAGAACTTTCTTTTCCAACTCAATTCAATTCAATTCATTTCCATTCATTAATTCAGAAAACATTTTCTCAATTCAATTCAACACAATTCATCAACTCTAAAACCACATGTCCAATTCGATTCATTTCAACTCAGAAATTGAGTTGAGTTGGGTTGCCCAGCTCTGATCCGTAGCTAAAATAGCTCGAATGATCCGAATTACCTCAGATCGATTTTTTTCAAAAAAATTGATGTTTTTTACACTGAAGAAAGAGTGTAATAATAAACGAAAAATTGGTTTATGACACAGTAATAAACGAAAAAACCTTCAAGAGTTTGCAACCAGTCACGAACCCTATTTTTCCGTTTGTGAAACTGGTAATAAACGATTTTTTCGTTCGTGACTCTCGTAAAAGAGTTTATTAGCAGTTTTATAAACGAAAAAATGGTTCGTGACTGATTGCAAAATGTCCGTTTATTATTACACTCTTTTTTTTTTTACAGTGTAGAGGTATCATGTTGGTTATTATTGTTGGGGTGTGGGGTGTGGGTGAGGGTATGCGTAAGAAACAACGGGGACATTTACACCGACTCCAACACCCTCACACCCTGTTGGGATTTTGTCCACTTGCAAAATTCCTTTTTCGCTCACGCCTCTTCTTTTTACAGAACGAAAAAAATATTCGCGACAGAGAGAGTAAACAGTACGGTCTATGTTCCCTGTTCTTCAACAAATTTAGGCAATCACATTATTTGACTAAGAGACTCTATTTCGCTCTTGCTTCTCCCTGATTGCTTCTCTCGTTGCATTTTTCCCCTTTGAGTGTAGTTGGACCAGAGGTGCTCAAATACGAGTACAAATTGTACTGTGAATTTATATAAACTCTATATAAATCAAAAATATAATTTTATGATTTTATGTATTGACATGTGTTGTCCTACTTTGGGTCTGAAAAAGCTAGAATCGGTTAGCATGTACTCTCGTGTAATGTACTACCGATAATGAATAACACAAGTATTATTATGTTACTCATCTTGCTCGATTCGAATGCAGACACTATCGATATTGTCAGACCTAAAATAGATCAATACATGACAGTACATGAGAGCATAAGCTAACCGATTCTAGTTTTTCAGGCCCTATGTAGAATGTACTGTCACATACTAACCTACTTTGGATCTGAAAAACCTCGGATCGGTTAGCTTGTACTGTCATGTATTCTTATGTACTGACATGTATTGAGAAAGTACAAGCTAACGGATTCTAGGTTTTTCTGACCTAAAGTAGATCAGTACATAACAGTGCATGACACTAAATGAGAATGCACGACAGTGCAAAATTATTGAATGCTGTATTATGTGATAGAATGAATCGTTAGAAAATCCAGAGTATAATTCGTACTCGTATTTGCTCAACCCTCAGTTGGGTAATTCCATGGAAAAGCTACCACTTTTCTGGAAAGGTGTTTAAATTTCGGTTATAATATTATGGAAGAAGCAAACGCGAATAGGGGGGCAACGGTGACAAACAGTCACCGGTATACCGTCACTGTTTCATCGTCACCGGTCGCACCGGCAACCGTTAACGGTTTCACTAGTACTAGATTTTAGTTGATTCATTTGTACTCTTTGCCTTAATAGTTAGCGATTGATGTTTTAGGAACAAATTATATTCCTCAATACAATCAACGAAAATATCTATGGTGAACGGTGGCGCCAATTCAACCTGACTCTGTGCTAGAATCGATAGTTCAGAAAAGTTCAAATCATGAATAAAACCAACAAAATAGAATGTTTCATTTATACATCTCTTTGATAATCAGGGTCAGCGACATAGCTGCGCAAGTACGGGTACAACTTGTACTCGACAATTTACATAGAGACTGAAAGCTCCGCTACTAACATAGAGGATACATATGTACTCGTATGAACTCAGTTGTACTACCGCCTTTTCCCCCCAAAAACCTAGAATTCTAGAATTCATGTACTCGCATGTATTTGTATGTATTCGGTTGTACCGCCCGATACATGAATTCTAGAATTCTAAGTTTTGGGGGAGTAATATGTGGTATTCGATACTAGTACAAGTTGTACTCGTACTTGCGCACCCCTTATCAGCGATGCTCATGCATCGGTCTTCACCGTACGTCTTTCATAGGCTTACCGGTATCATTATTAGTCTCACCACCCCATCTCTAGTTTTCACCAGTATATGTCATTATAGGCCGCTATAAGGCGGTAAATTGCTTACCGCTCTATACCGGTATGCCGAGATGCACCGATATATAGTGGCTGACACTAATTTATACTGGTTATACTAGCTACCGGTATCTGCCAGCTACCGACTTCGACCGGTTAATTGGTACTAGTGAATCGACGATTCACCGTCACCGTTGCATCCCTAGTTGCGATTTAGTCTTGCAATATGTCACAGATAGAATATACAAGTACAGAATGCTCCGATATTGCCCACATTATACTTGATTGTATTAGTATTGCCATGCGAAAACTCTCTGAAAACGGGTGTATATAGGAAAATAGTACTAATTATCAATAAAGAGATGTGAAAACGACTAATGAGACCAGTAACAGTAACTAGTGAGGACCGGTGCAACCGGTGACGGTTTTCGTCACTGTTGCACCCCTAAACGCGAAAGACGACCAGGAGAGTTGCTCACGGGACCCATAAAAAGTCTTTTCGTTTGGGAGACCCGTGTTAAAAATTGGACCTGATCAGAGTCGTACCCTTCGGAACATGTTTCTTCTTGAAATTAGAATTCGATATCACGGTCGGACGCAACATGAAACACTGACTACAAATCACTATAATTCTTTAGTTTTTTAGAGTTTAGTCAACAGATAACGAGGACCAATGCTTTCGGCAGTGGTCATTCTGAGGTCAACAGACCAATTTTCGATTTTCCGCTTTAGACGGTCCCTGACTGCGATTCAAATATGAATCGAAGGATATTTGACAAGAGAAACATTTCTGGCAATGTAGTAAGATCAGGAAATTTGTAGAACGGAAAATCGAAAACTGTTCTGCTGGTCTCAGAGAGCCACTGTGGAAAGTATTGGCCCTCATAATCTCTTGCTGAACCTTTAGAACAATGGAAGATTATAGTATTTTGGAGCGAGCGTTTCGTGCTGTGTCTGAAGATAATATTAAATTCTATTTTCAAGATGAATGATAGCGGCGTAACCAGGATTTGGGGCTAGGGTGGACCCGCCACTGGATGTTTAAAAATGTCACACAAATGCAGTCCCAGTTTTTTCTATTACTCTGAATACGAACAAAAATGGAACTGGTTCAGTAAAACCACACTAGAAAGTTCGAGGCCACCATTTTAGCAGTTAGAACTTCTAAGAATCGCGTTCTCTGACCCTGCGTTGTCGATCAACAAATTACAATTTTACAGGTGTCATGATGAGAATGAATACGATGCCGCTTAATAGTTCAGATTACAGTAATTAGGGTGGGTGTGGGTGTGAGTCTCCGCTACCAAATCACCCACACCCGCCCCTTTATATTTACTGCAATTCGAACAAAATAGATCTAGACATCAATATTAAATGTACTTCTTTCGAAGTTGATAATGTTAGTTATTTCTTTTTGGCTGTAATCGAAAGAGAACTCCTTATACTGAAATAATTTTATTGTTATTGATTAGAATTCTAGGAGTTGTTTAATGATCTAAACTTTTTGTTTTTTATATAAAATTTACGTTTTATATAATAATGCAGCTTTCGGATTCTTAAGATACCTGATGAGATCCTTAAGCAAGATCGCAACGTGCTATGCTTTGAATCTATCGAATATTGAGTGTATAATACATCCACACCCTCAAGAGATATATATACATACAAGTTTCGCTTTTATTCATAATAGTCTGTTCAAATAATGGCCATGGCACTGGAAAAAATTGCTACAAACATTGCAAAACTCGACTTTTTGCCGGGCAACAGTCATAAACTTCATGGTAAGAGATGTGAAATGTTTTTCTGTTTCTTGATTATACTGAAAATGATATAATTACATATACGTAGGTACTCGTGAATTCATTACCGTGTTTCAATCAATGAGTAAAGATACAAATAATCTGTGTAAAAAGGTTTCAACTTTACTCAAAGCGCATAGCGCAAAATGGTCTCGCCGTCTGGGTGAAAATCCGCAAATTTCTGAATGTCCGCCAATGAAGCAGCAATTCATGAATCTTGTTTCAATCAGTTCATTGTTAGCCGACTCGTTTGATAATGCACGTAAAGAAATCAAACGGGAACTCGCCACTATACCTTCGCTGCCACGGTGTCAAGTCAAAAGAGATAAACAAAATGCACGTCAGAACTTTAACCAGGCTGATAAACAGCTTAAAAGATTGGCCGAAGAACAAATTAAACTTCAAGACCAATTAAATGAACTCAATCAGCAGTTAGAGAACACTTCGTTGGAAACATTGAGAGAAGCAGACGTGAGATCGAAAAAGAACATATTAAAAAAACAATTACGACAGAAGGGTATTGAGTTACATGAAGCTCGAGATGTATTGAATATAGAAAAACAACTACGTGACAAACGACTCGACCAAATTGTTGAAGAAAATCGACGAGTTGAAATAAATTTGTTGGAAAACCTTAATAGATATATGCAACAATATTTTGCAGCTATGCAAGTTAAATTACCTCCAGCTACGATAGAAAGAATTACTCGTACATCGCAGAACGAATTTCTCATTGGAGAAGAATTACATTCCTTGCAGACCATGTGTAGTCAAATAAGCTTTGACAATGACAATGACAATGACAATGACAATGACAATGAAGATTTTTCCGATACAGATGACGAGTCTTTCTCATTGGATAGTAATGTCAGCAACAACAAGAAAAATAACACCAAACAGTTTATACATGAGATAAGCGTATGACAACAACGTTGATAACACAAAATAAACGATATGAATTAATGCTCTATAATTAAGAACTTGTATTTTTTTACTAAATAAAGGCGTCTATCTAGCTTTCAATGTTTTTTCTTTACACAATTTCCACCAAATCCGATCTTCTTTTAATATACGAACTTACATTGAATTTTGTGCAACTGCTTAGTATGAAATATAAAACTTCTTTATTTTAACAGCAGCGGAAATATTTTGTAACTGACAATGTCAGCCAAGAAAGACTATCGAAAATGACAGAATTCACTTTTGCAGAAAAACTGCAAAAGTAAATTCTGTATAGACTATCTTTTATGATGGAACTAACTGATATTGTGCAATTACATTTGCACTATTACATACTCTCTAAAAAGAAAGGGTATTCTAGGAAACTAAAAATAGGTTTCCGATAGTAACAAAATCGAAAACCCTTTAAGGGTTTCCCAGGCACGGTTTCCGAGAAACCAAATAAAAATTTCCTCCGGATACCAATGTCGGAAACGGATTAAAAGTTTCCGAGATTTCCTTCTTCTCGTTCTGCATCGAAAACCACCAGCTTGCTATAGCTCGGGTCGATCATTCCGCCCACCGGATGCTGCAGAAACCGACAGAAAAGCCGCCTGAAAATCACCGTACTCTGTATGGAAACACACGATATCGCTGGAACATGGAAGCAGTATCCCGCCCATAAAGTTTTCCAAGTTTTTTCTCATGATTTCCGATGCATCTTGCCGAAAAACACAACAAGCTGGTTGGGAAATCATCAAAACAAATCCAGATAGTTTGTGGCCGGAACGCTGCTACCATGTTTTGAATGATATTATCTGTTTTCGTACAGGACAGAGTGGTTTTCAGGCATCTCTACTGTCAGTGTCTCCAGTATCTGTTGGATAGAACGATCGACATGGGATGTTGGGTCTAAATAGAAATAAAATATTTCATTACGTTTTAACTTTCAAAATCAAACTCACCCTTATACGATTTGTTCATCTGCCGTTTGATATAAATAGAAAAAAATATTTCATCAGCTGTTAACTTTTAAAATCGAACTCACCATTAACATTTGCTCATCTAACAATCGATCTAAACTGAAACAAAACAAGTAACCATCGCAAGGGGGAAAAAGCGGCTCCTGGATCCTTGGATTCTCGCGGCTCCTCATGGATTCTGGCGGATTCTATGGATCCTAGTGGATTCTGGCGGATTCTGTGGATCCTACTGGATTCTACTGGATTCTACTGGATTCTACGGGATCCTGCTGGATTCCAGTGGATTCCTATGATCTTAGTGGATATTTGAAGATACGTGAAGATCAGTATCTACTCCTTATCGCTGTCGCTTGCTCTCTTTTAGTCGAAAATGATGGCTTATCCAGTTAGACAAAACTGCTTTTTAAGCTTTTCTATTGTAGCTTCTTAGCATGATATTTGTCTTCGCAACATAAAGTTTCGTAATCATTAACATCCTGTAAAAGGTTATCCAACAACTCTTTTAGCTGTCAAGGGAAAGGTTAAAAATATAACTTGTAAATCACATGAAAACATGAAATT